TTTGTGGGGGGGGGGGGGTATGTCTGGACACTTTGTGTATGTGTGTGTGTCTATATTATGTGCCTGTACTTCTTTTTGTTTTGCTGTTGCTAATTGGTCCTCCAGAGGATCTGTTTGTATATGTGGGCAAGATGGATGATCGGGACTGAATCGCTGCACTCTGGAGGAGAGGAAAACCAAAGTGAACTGTATTTCTGCTGTTTTTTAGTTTCTCAACATTTTGTTTTATTTACAACAATATGGCTGATCATGTCATTTAGACTCCTGCAGCTACTTGTGAGAGGTTTACCTGAGCGTTTTCATGACCACCACCACAGATTTTTCTTTCTCTCCTGCCACAACCCCCTTTGTATTTTGTCTCCTCTGACTTGGTTTTCTTTTTGCTGACAGATTCAGGACTGAGTTCCTTAAGAGAAGCCAAATATAGGAGAACTCACACGCTCACAGGGACACGCAGTAACCAAACTATTACTGTGGAAGTCCATTTGTACATTGTATACAAACTGCAGTTGTTATTATTACTATTGATTGAATCTGTGGGGCTATTTTGAAAAGCCTTTTTTTCCATTAACAGTTCAGAACCATAATATTAACTTTACTCCCACATGAGATCAAGAAAAACCGGAAAACGTCACACTTGAGGTACTGGTATCTGATTAAAATGTTTACCTAAATATTTCCCTGTTCATTTTTAGTTGATTGACTAATTGATTAATTGACTAATGGTTGCAGCTATTTTAAGAAAATGAGAGTTTTTTGTGAATAAAAGAAGGACCTATGAAGCTATTTTCACTGTTTTCCTTATTGTGTAAAATAGCTCTTTGTTTGCTTTATCCCTCGCCCTCAGCATGACATGCTAGCCATCCTTGGTATGTGTCCTACAATGAAAAATGATAACCAGCATATATTTTGCTAATGAGGAGATGTCCTTGGAGAATAAACAGGGGAATAAATGATGTATATATGCTGCACTGTGGGGGATGATGGACTGGATTGGGGCCAAGCAGGAGAGAAGAGGAAGCTCTTGCCTCCTTTGTGCTATATTTGGCCTCTCAGAAGATGGCTGGTGTGGGAGAGCAACGCATTGTTTTGTAGATGCACACACATGAATGTGTTCATGAGTACAGGCACATATTTGCATGCACACCTGCACTCAAACAAACGCTAAAAGGGAGAAGCAGATGAAAGAAAAAACAAACAGTAATACAGCCTAAGTAGTCTTAACATGGCTGGATGATCTTCATGTGACTCACTGAGTTATTAAACACTGTGTCAGTAATATCATGTCACTCTTTCCCGACAGGGGTCAGCTGATTCGTACACCAGTAGACCATCTGATTCAGACCTGTCAGCAGAGGAGGACCGCGAGGCGTATCGGCGTGAAGCCGAGCGCCAGGCACAACAGCAGCTCGACAGAGCTAAGGTACACCATACAGTCATTATCGTAGCTACACATTGCTGTGTTTATGAACGAAAATATCTAAGAAACATTTGGCTCTATCTCTCCAGTTGAATTTTGAAGTAGAAGAGTCTAGGCTGTAGGTAAAAGTCAGCAAAGGAGATGTTAATGTGGGTGCTTTTACAAAGAAATCTGAAAATCGAATCATTTTTTCATCGTTTGTGCTGTTTGATACCGCTACCGTTAAATTACCGTTAAATTATCAAGCTTTGTTCATCACTATGAGGAAGAGGCAGGAAGTCATTTGTTATGTCTATGGAAGCATCACTATTAATTTTAAACATATCTTTCCTAACTCTGTAACAAATAAATAGATTCAAGAGTATATTTTTAATGAGTTGATATTAATTGGTAAAAACAAATAAGCAACAACAGGCCCAAGATAACTAATGGATTTGTCAAATGTATTTGCACTAGTCTAAGTACCTTTGTCTTTTACAGTTGTGCTAGTTAACTTTTCAGAGGACAGTTGGAGCAAAATAATATTATTTGAGTTGACTATGACACATTATGCTACTGTAACCATATTAAAAGCTTTCCAACAGGTTTTTGCACCAGCTTCTACCTGATACTTTTCTGACTGAATATAATAAGTGAGCAAACAAGCAGTGCGTTGATGTAACTTAAAAAAAATTGTTATTAGAAAGACGGGTTGTTGGTAAAGGAGGCATCTAAACTGCTAACACTTTGCTGTTAGTGCTTCTGCTAGCTGCTGCTGTTGTGCGGTGAAGTAAACAGAACAATATGAAAGGTGACATCATGTGACATCATGTGCACAATCACTGTCACTGATTTCTGAGTCAGGATCTGACCATTATCCAATGTAAATGTTGTATTGGTGCGTTCCTATTTGAGCCACATATTTGGCATATTACCACCCGGTCACATCCTTTGATAATCTGCTAGTCTGGTCACCATCTTTTGTGCTGTGTGATTGGTTGCTGATTCAATCAAAGGAAGTCTGTTTTCAAGTAACAAGGAGTTGATCTATTGCACTCTGTTGTTGTCCTCGAGTCTCACATGTTTGCAGAGCATTTGCATCACTGACAAGTCTTCTTCGTGTTCTTATTTGTTGACACCACAGTCCAAACCTGTAGCGTTTGCAGTAAAGACGAATGTGAGTTACTGTGGAGCTCTGGATGAGGACTGTCCAGTCCAAGGAGCTGCAGTCAACTTCGATGCCAAAGACTTCCTGCACATCAAAGAAGTGAGATTATCTGTTTTGAATAATACTAGTACTACTGCTACTACTAATAATGATAATAATATGCCCTTTCATTATATTAAAACAAGACACATGCTGTATGTAAAGCAGTGCTACTTTTGAACTGAATTTAACAGAAGTACAATAATGACTGGTGGATCGGCCGGCTAGTAAAAGAAGGAGCAGACATCACCTTCATCCCCAGCCCTCTACGACTGGAGGCAATGCGACTGAAACAGGAGCAGAAACAGAGGTCAGCTATTTCATTTCATCTCAGGTGATCTATTTCCACAAAACAGCTTTGGTAATTCAATGTGTCTTTGCTGCTGTTTCTGCAGGAAAACAGGAGGTAACTCCTCAAGTTTAGGAGACATGGTGACAGGGGGCTGGAGGACGACGCCGCCATCTGCAGGTGAATGTAAGTACAGCAAACCTTCTTCTGGTCCTGAAACAAAAAGCAGCTTCTGCTGTCTTTTATCAGTTTCTGTCACTGATTGCTATTTTCTTGTTTTCACAAGCTAAACAGAAGCAAAAACAGGTAGGTTCTGGTACTTTATGATGATGTAGAAGATGATGTAGCTTATAATTCATGCTTCTTTTTTTTTATTTTTTCACTCTAAACAACACAGAGTTTGTAGAAGATAATACTGAATTCCCTAAAGTAAGAGAGGCCATGGAAAGTAAACAAAAGTAGGTTATACAATTAGAAACTACAAGCAGGCTTGGTGTAACAGATTGTGAGTGTAGGAGGTTGCTTAATTGTTTTTTTACGGAGTTAATATTAAAATAATCACTGCAGTAGTACACTGGAAGCACCTGATCTTAAAATGGGTCATTTTAGCAAAACCTTTAAATATTTTACAACTAACCAATCCCTTTTCTGTCACCTGTCTCATTGTCAGGTTAGTTGATTAACTAATACCAGTAATTATTGTTATGTAATGTTATAAAACCAAAATGCATTTAATCAACTGGTTTTTTGGTCATTGTTTGATTGAATATGAGGGTAAAAAACAACAACCAAACCCAACTCCCATCATTTCTCACCCCTGTTTTCGCTGTTCTTTATCCCCTTTCCTGTCCTCCTCTATTTCTGGTAGGAACATGTCCCTCCCTATGATGTGGTGCCCTCTATGAGGCCGGTGGTTCTCGTGGGACCATCGCTGAAGGGCTATGAGGTCAGCTTCTCCCTATTTCACCTCCAGCAGACAGAACGACTGCTTTCCTCTGCACTATTTGCTCTGTTCACACTGCCTCGGCACTGCTGCATTCGTTATTGGCTCGTGTGAATTTGTCCTTTGAAAGTTATTGGAAAATATTCAAATATTAAAAGATGACTTTTTTGCTATTTAGTCTACACTCATAATGAGAAAATGACACTATGATTTTGCATTTATGAAAGTCCTCAGACCCTGAATTTATACTTTGTTAAGGGCCATTTGGCAGCCATTACAGTTTTTGGAAATTTGGATGATTATGCAGTCTGTAATTAACACTACTTACTACTTTTAGGAAATTAGGATCAAGAATTTCATCAAAGCTGGATTATTGATACAGTTGCATGTTTATGTCTCTTTTTTACTCATAAGTTATTTTTCAGTAGACAGTTTCATCCTTTTGCACAAGTAATTGTTTGACTCCTGTACTCAAGCTTTTGTCTTTTATGAAGTAACTGTACTTTGACTCAAGTGGACTTTTTGAGTTTCTGCCATGTGATTGGCTAATTAGACATTTAGCGAACAGTCTAACAAGTGTACCTAGTACGCTTTACTGTAGTAAGCCAAAACATTTTATGTTTTGTTTATTTATTTGAACTGTTTTGGTAATTTTCAGAATTTTACTTTTTAGTTACTTATAAATCTTTGACTTCACTAAAACCACTTTGCAGGATTCAGATCTTAAAATAATCTTTATTTATGTTAAACTGGGCCTTTGTGCTAAGTACATTTTATCCACTCCCTGAAAGAAGCTGTTTTACCTCCTGCCATCCTCCTTTGAAAATAGCATTCTTCTGATTGGCTGATTAGCAGGTGGAGGGGTGGATCCACTTTCACTGATATACCAAGCCAAGAATAGAAAAAAATGTCCAGAGTCAAGTGTTAAGAGCAGTCTGAAGCATAACATTTTGGTTTATTTGATTTGACCATGTTTAGTACTAACATGAACAACTCTAGCAGCATACATTTGAAACAATAAGAGGAAGCAGGATGTCTTAGCCTTTTAATTATAATGTATTTGTAATTCATTGTTTTTCTTATGTTCCGAAAGGTGACAGATATGATGCAGAAAGCTCTCTTTGACTTCCTGAAACACAGATTTGAGGGAAGGTCAGTAAAATGGGGAGATTATATAAGAAATCAAGTAGTTGGTGAAAGCCAGGCCTTTATTTTAGTGAAAGAGTTTCAGTGTATATTTACCTGCGTTTTGCAACTTGTCCACAGAATCTCAATCACCCGTGTAACTGCCGACCTTTCCTTAGCCAAGAGATCTGTCCTTAACAAAAGACCCATAATGGAGAGATCCAACACTCGCTCGAGCTTAGGTAAGCTATGCTGATGCCAGTATGAAAGTTCCACAAGTTTCTGTTTTCTTTCTTTTTTTGAAGGGAAGCAACTTTTTTTTTCTCCCATGTATTTATTGAGTTTTAAACTTTACACTGACACCATCATTAAACAAAACAAAACCAATATAACAGAATAAAATAAAACAGACAAAACAAACAACCAAGAATACAAATAAATAAATAGAGAATCCACAGTGACACATATTCCAGTACCATCCGGTGTCATTGAGTCTTAGATGGGGCCGTGTCCGTGATCCAGTTCAAAAATACACATTTCCTTGCACAGAACGTTAACAGTGCATAGAGCTGCTTTCCAAACTTCCCCCTGATTTTGTCATTTGCTACTCCAAGTAGCATGCACAATGGAGTGCATTCAGAGTCAGTGGTGAAGATCTTATCCAGTTCACACTTTATGACAAACCAAAATTGTTGTATTTTGAGGTTGGCCACCTCTATTTTACATTTAGGGAAGGGAATCAACTTTGATAATCTAATGTTTCTTGTCTGTGCAGCTGAGGTTCAGAGTGAGATTGAAAGGATATTTGAACTCGCCAAAACCCTGCAACTGGTTGTTCTGGACGCAGACACCATCAACCATCCCGCACAGCTCGCCAAAACCTCCCTTGCACCCATCATTGTCTATGTTAAAGTTTCCTCACCAAAGGTACACCTTGCTCATGAACATTAGATTAAGGCAGTCTTATCTTTCTTGGTTTCTTACACCATCTGTTTCTTTTTCTCAGGTGCTCCAGAGGCTGATCAAATCCAGGGGGAAGTCTCAGAGCAAGCACCTGAATGTGCAGATGATGGCTGCAGACAAACTCTCTCAGTGCCCCCCTGTGAGTGCTACAGTTTGTAATAAGTCCATACAGTTTGGACATTTTACATGATCATGTAAAATAATTTTTTTGATTTTTCAAAAAGTATATTCAGATATTTAATATCAAAAAAATCATCTGAATTAAAGGCTTGAGCAGTGTGTGGCGTGGTTAACTGTTAGTATCTACAGGGGGATTAAAATACGAATGAAAAATAAAGGTGGAGTTTTAGCAAAACAGCTGGTTAAGCTTTTTGCACTCAGGCATTCTCATAGATGCTAATCTAAAAGTGCTCCTGAGCTTGCGCCTGTTCAACTTGCCTGTTTTATTAGACCAGGCATGGTCAGAGCTGCCTTGTCATTGCTTTTCTTTCTAATGTATTGAAGAGTTATTAAAAACGTTTTCACGTGCCATCTCCTCTACATCTCACAAGTTGGCCAAGGTGATTAGCAAGAGAACACTCCTCTGAAGCTATAATGCTATCACTGAAGCCCGTTCATTTGCTAATGCTAGCTGTGTTTCCACACAAAGCGCAGGTCATAACTGATCTTGAAGCAGTGAAAGCAGACCAGCCGCAGCTTGCCTCGCACTCTGCTCTCCCCTTAGTTTACCATCAAAGACCAGAGGTTTATCCGCAGTGCCCATGCGCAAACCACCAGGAAAAAAACTGCTGGCCTCTCAGCTTGCCTAGCACCAGTTATTGTTAGCAGGAAACAGACACCCCCTCAGAGAAGGAGACGACTACACTTTGCTATGTCATGAAATAAGCACAGCTTTCAGCGACAATAGCCAACTACCTAACACAAGATGGCAGTAATGTACAGACTGGGTGCGCATTAATTGACAGGCAAGGTGCTTTATGACAGCACTGTCTGAGATGAAAGGAGAGAGATCGCTATAGTTTGGTCTGTTTCAATGTATTTTACTTTATTTCTAGATTTAATAATGCAAGCACTTCTTGTCCTAACAGAATGCCACTGAGTTACAGTCTAATTTTTCATGTTGTACATTTGTAGGATATGTTTGATGTCATTTTGGATGAGAACCAGTTGGAAGATGCTTGTGAGCATTTGGCTGAATACTTGGAGGTTTACTGGCGTGCCACTCACCTCCCAGGAAACACCCCTCTTAATCCACTATTGGAGCAGAGTCTCATGACCCCGCCTTCTGCCATCTCTAGCCTACAGGTAGGTTTGTCTCTGAGTGTGTACATAAATCAGGAGAGCGTAAAAATACGCTTTTAAAATAATGTAAGACTTTTGACAACGAGCCTTGTTTTTTGAACACATTGTATGTTGTCACTGTCTTTGCCAGCTCTTCCCATCTCAGGCTTCACTCCTGTGTTTTGTTTAATTGTCTCCAGTTGTCTTGTCTGTCCTCTCACTCATCCATGCTTAACATCTTTGCAGTTTTCTGAAACACAGGAATTAATTGAATGATCGCGTACAAACTGGGGTGAGTAGTAGGGTTTATATAATATGTATATATATTTGCACCCCTCTTGCGCACCTCCGACACCCGAACACGACCCTGCGGCTGAGACAGTGAATGAAAAGCATTTTATTCATTCAAATCTCAGAAAAGATTAGACCTGGTGTGTTTTTGTTTTTCTGCTGTTGTTTGTCTTTAATTTACTGCATCCTGCCTCTTTTCCTTTACTTGGATGGTTTCAGGTGAATCACTGCTCCACAAGCTTTATTCACAAAGCAGCTAAGCTCTGTCTCCATTTTAATACTACAATTTAAATATATTGGTTGTGTTAAATCTAACTTTTCCTATTGTGTTCAGTGTCCAAGCATGCTTTGTGAATGCTGTCCCCGCTCACTGTGGCACATGAAGCTACCTGAATGATGCTAATTAAAGCGAGTGATGGGGCTCGCTTAAGCGAGCTTAAACGATGCTTTCACCTGAACTAAATGCAAATTTACACAAAAAAACTGAGTTCACAGCATCGGCAAAATAACTTTTTACCTCCATGAGGAACTTCCTGAACATCCATTCAGCCGTTTCACTTTTTTTTTGTTCAGTGTCTGTTGTATTAATCTATATACACACCGACAAAACAAAGGACTTTGAAGATAACAACACTGCTGCACTTCTGCATGCCACTTATGAACACTATCACCCTTTTATGTTGCTCAGCTCTGTGTTATTTCTGCAGTTTACTTACCTGTGGTTTATGACACTGACTGCAGGTTGATTAAAGAACAAGTAATCCCAGTTTTCTATAACTTGATATTTTAGAAAATGCCACAATATTTCTGAGCTTATACATCACATTTGCTATTTCTTGCAATTTTAGTAAAAATAGGAGTTTTTTGGTCATTATATAGGCTTTTCTTAATGTTACCTACAGTTGTGGTCAGAAGTTTACATACACTCATCATGAGCATGAATGTCATGGTCATTTTGGCTTCTTTCTCCAGGGTGGAATCGTTGCACAGCAAACATTTTAATAATTTGGGCAGTGCAAAGTAGGTGCACAAGTTTGAATTTATTTTGAATTTTCTCTAATTCACACAGGGACAGAAGTATATATACAGGCTCAAACATATACATACACTGGCAGCATCATGTTCTGGGGCTGTTTTCCTGTCAGCGGTACTGGTGCATTACACAAAGTGGATGGAAAAATGAAGAAGAAGACTACATGCAAATTCTTCACCTTTACCTCAGATCACCAGACAGCTGGACAGTTGAAACATGGAGATAATTGGGTGATCAAACGGGACAACGATCACAAACACACATCAAAAATGGTTTTGGACTGGATAAAGCTAACATTAAGCGTCTGGAATACATTTTGAAACCTTGTGGAATATGTTTAAAAGTTGGGTCTGTGCCAGAAAACCAAAAAAATTTCTGAACTCTTCCAATTCTGCCAGGAAGAGTGGTCAAATGTCCAGGGAAGAATTATGGCAGAAGGTTGTTGATGACAATCAAAAGCATGAGGTCGAGGTGAATCTTGCTAAGGAACATTTAACCAAATATGTGTAATATGTATATATTTGAGCCTGTGTGGATTACAGAAAAAACAGAATAAATTAAAATTTGTGCACCCATTCATTTTTTTCATTACAGATGTATTCTGTACAATTATTCCACTGTGGAAAAATAACAGTTCAAAGAAATCATTGGCATTAGCAGAAATCAAAGCCCTATATTACCATGACATTCATGTTGATTATAAGTGCAATGCAAACTTCTGACCACAACTGTAGTTCTGCAGCTCTGTGTCACGGAATTAAGCTTTTGGGTTACGGTAGCTTTGTTTACATTGGAATATCCATCCATTCATCCATTTTCTTTACCATTTATCCAATTCAGGGTGGTGTGGGGCTGGAGTTACATAAGAAAATATAGCACCACAAGCAGTAGAGGACGTACTTACATCTTTTATCAATCGATATCAATAGTTTGTGTTGTTGTCTTACTCTTACTTACTGTTAATGCAATTCCGATGTAGAAGAGAGATTACAGAGCCCACAGTCCTCGGGCCGTATAAAGAATCATAAAAGTAGCATTGAATTGCAGGGGTGTCCAAGATATGTACAAGGAATTGTAAGTGGCCCGCCACAGGGTCCAATGTGGCCTACTAGTTAGTTTTTCAAATTGTAAAAACTGCAGACATGCACGGCATTATTTTTGTGACTTTTCTCTGTATTTTCTATTAGGAAGTATTGCGGTGTTAAGAGTGATCGCATTATAACTTTTTATGTGAGCAAGAGGTCTGAACCGTCATCAGTTTTGCAGCAGTTTTACTGACAAAGATATTATTACATATATATTTCACTTAAGTTCTTTTGTTTTGTTTTTGTTGGGGTTTTTTGCAATGACGATCTGAATGTGATGAAATTGTTCTTCTTTTTCTTAAGACAGCTGAGGCTTTTTCCTATCTGATTGTAAGGGATTGCTAGTGAAGATTGAACCTTGAACACAAAGATACAAAGATGATGCATTGTTTCATTGGTCATTATTCAGTAGTTTTACTAACCAAGATCAAATAAAACTGGGCTCTTCAGCAAAAATAAAAGTGACACCTTTGCCCTTTATACTCGTTTAATACTCGACACCTGTTTAAACAGAACAAAGACTGTGGTCTAAACTGTACCTAAACTCCTACAGTAGGTGTCACTTTGTGTTCAGTAAGAAGCTTTTTAAAGGCACACGTGGGTATGTGAGGAATGATTTGAGTCTGCCATATTCTATTGGTCTCTGAGGGTAATGCTAACTTTATGCTGTTCATGGAAAAGAAAAAAAACAATTTTGTATGAATCGTTTTAAAGTCTTAATTTAAATCTACTAAAAATAAACGTAAAAACTGACCACTTAGAGCGACGGTTGGGCATTGATCTGATCACACTGTGATCGGAGACTTGGAGAGCTCAATGTCTTCTGTAGGCTCAAAATAGTCACTTCAGTGGGAAATAATGGGAAAGAAACCAGAATTTTCTTTTCAGACAGACTCCCACAATTCCTTCAAAGTCCTTATTGATGTAGTGTTTGCCTTATTTTGTGTTTTTCCTTCGAGATGATATCCTGAGTCCAAGCTTTGATGTGACTCTGCCTTTATTTGTATTTTTTTCCTGTATGACCACTTGAATCATCCAGAACAAGAACCAGCCGCAGCCTTGTGAGACAACAGGCTTGGAGGGTGATGAGGAAGAGGAGGCCGGCGAGGAGGCCCACTCCCCCCTGGAGCAGGACAGTCTTATGCCATCTGACGAAGCCAGCGACTCGCTTTCTCGTGGCCGGAGGGGGAGCCCCTGTCACAGGGGGGGCGAGGAGGATGAAGAGGAGGAAGAGGAAGAAGAGGAGGAGGAGGATGAGGAGGATGAATACGCCTCTCCCTGCCACGCTCGCACATATAGGGACATGTACCCCTCTCACCGCGGGCATACGGGCGGTGCCCACAGCGCCAACGGGCACGAGTCACAAGACAGGCTGCTCCAGCGCGAAGCTCAGCAAGGTCACAACCAGAGGAACCGCCAGCGCAGCCGCCCCTGGCCCCGAGACACCTACTGAGACAAGGGGCCCCTCCCAGCCTCCAGCTCCCCCCCAAGCCCTCCACCCACCGCACAGTCCCAAACTAGCAACTTAGAGATGAAATTTGTTCCCAGATTCGCCAAACTTTAGTGCCAATTGGAAACAAACACAAACAGATGCCCAGTTTATCGACCAATCACAATCTTCCAGGGGGCCTACTCACCTCTGAAAGGGAAAGGTTTCAGGCTACCAGCTGTACGCAAACTCAAACTTTAGCTGCTTTGCCTAAGGTTTCTCTATTGTAGGATGTCTCATATACTGGCCTTAAAATTCCTAAGACTTTTAACGATCTTTACTATTGCATGTATAATTTTAAGACTATTTGCACATTAACGTCAGAACAGGAAGTGAATGACCTTTATGGATAAACTAACGTAGGAATGTCTACCGCTGAATCAATTATGGGAAATAGTAATGCATTTGATTCCAATGTATATACTGAATGGGCACTGCTACTTTATTTGTTTGATTTTGTTTATATGGACTTGTTTGTTGCCATCCATGTGTTCGGTGAACGGAGATTTTTGGAGAGACATTGTACAGTCTCTAAACAGTTAAAACGTAATCGATATGAAGCTGCAGTACAGCGTCAGCGTCACCTACAGTGCAGTACGTTCTGGGCATCGCTCGTCTTTGCTGTTGCACAATCACTCTCTTAAGAAAAAAAAAATCTTTGAATGGGCACAGAGAATGTAAACACAACCATGAAAGGGAATGTTTTAAATTTTTTGAAGGATGTATTCCTTGCCAAAAAAACAAAAAAAAACAAAAAAAAAAACACACGCTTGTTTACATCCACTCATACACATATTTCAAGCACATGCTGCACAGCTGCAGCTCCTCTTCAAATCCAGGCTTCAGAGAATGTAAGCTTGCATGCCTTTTGCACCTCCAGCACCACTTGGTCGCACAACCTATCGCCCCGTGAATTCGATTGTAGCACGTTATTGATTGTAGCATCCACAGTTTCTAGACTGATCTCACTCCCCTTACATCCACCTCACTCTCCTCGGATATTTTTTGTGTGTCGAACATTGTTTGCGTACTGCAGTTTTACAGCTGGTTTTTACAAAGGCGGATCCTCAGGTGTATGTCCTACAACACTCATCGCGCTCAGCTCCATGTAACGACCGTGTCGTGCTCCCCGAGGACTTGTAGCACTCGTGACACGTCATTCTGTTCCTGCGCCATTTCTAGTCCGTGAGCCGACGACGAGGTGGACGCGATGCTGATGAGCGGCCGCCCAACTCTGTTCATTACACAGGGTGGATTGTTGTCACGGCCGGCTGATAGGAAACCCTGGTTTACTGCTTCCATGTGTCACAGGTATCTCTATCTAGTGTTCTGTATATTTTAAAGAGAAAAAAAAATCAGCATGATTGAAAAAAAAAATTAAGAAAAAAATCTATGCAAGTGTTGCATGAAATCTGATTGTTTCTTTTGAAGTATTTTAGTAATGCATCGATTCTGACTCTCCTCGTCGTCTTGTAGTGATAGTCTTGTCTTTGGGGCTACTCACTCCTCGCACCACCAACAACACGATTACTAAAAAGATCTGTTTATTTTTTCACACACCTTTAACACTGAGGACATTCTTCCACAATAAAGTCACTCACTGGGGGAAAAAAACAAAACAAAAAAAACCCCTTCCCAGATCAGGCCTTTGATTTTGTTAATTTGTGATCTAATGAGTGGATTATCTAAGCCCTGCATGTCTTAGTTCAACAATTAGCTCCTTTCGTTATATTTTGGCAGAGTATGTTTTTCAACGCGGACCAATTTAGCAACTGATAAAACAGTTGAAGGTTTTTCGATTTATGAAGCACAATTTTTACAAGAGTTATACTTCAGTTTCCTCTGTCTTATTCTGTATGCAATACAAAGCCTAACATTGAAAAACTTTTAAACGCCTTAGACCATCTGGACTTCCTCTTTTGTGTGAGTAGAGAAAAAAAAATTGCACTACTTTTTTTTTTTGGGATGGTTGCTTTGTAATGCAATAACTGCACTAAATATAACCATATATCCACCAGACTACCACAGCGTGCTAGCGTGACCCGACACGCCTCTTCCCTCTATTTATCAAAAGAGACAGCAAATGTGTAAAAAAGTGAGACATTTCCTGCCTGATGCTGTATAGAATGCTTTCTATTTGAAAATAGATTTACAATGTTAAGTAAAATATGAATTAAACTAAATAAACATGACATTTTATGTACTTTTAATGGTGTAACTCATTTGTCTTTCATTGTCATTTACTGACCAATACCTATGAGCATTTATGTGTAGCAGGAAAGGACTGTCTGCCATAAGAATTAAGTGGATCTCCAACTGGATTAACAGAGTTTCAGTCAGGATTCAAAATTCATCACTGTACAAAAACACTGTGAAGGTTATGAATGATTTTCCTATGGCTGCTGACAGTGGACTCATCTATGAGCATCTGATACCAATGACATGCATTGGTTTGCATGAGCATGCAATATGTATTAAAGGTACTGTGCTGGAGTGGTTTGAAGCATACCGAATAGATTCCAATTCGTTCATGTAAGTAGTGTCCTTTTCACACAGTAAAGTTAATTATGGAGTTCCACAAGGTTCTGTGCTGGGACCAATTCTATATGCATTATACATGCTTCCTTAGACAGTATTATTAGAAGGAATACCTTACATTTTCATTGCTATTCAGATGATACCCAGCTTTATTTATCCATAAAGTCAGATGAAACATACCAGACATCAGGAATGTCTTATAGACAAAGATGCTGATGACCTCTAAGTTAAGTTATTATACTGGCCTAAAAAATCTTAGAAACATGGTGTGTAACCAGGTACTTACCCTGGGTGGCATGTCCTGGCTTCTGGTAACACTGTGAGGAATCCTGGAGTCATTTTTTATTTTAAAGTCTTTGCCCTCAAATACAAGATCTTGAATAATCTATGAGGTATTTATCTTAAACACCTCATAGTGCCCCCAATAGAGCCCCACACTCTCAGACTGCTGGCTTACTTGTGGTTCCAAGGATATTTAAAAGAAGAATGGGAGGCAGAGCCTTCAGCTTCCAGGCCCCTCTTCTGTAGAACAAGTCCCAGTTTAGACACCCTCTCTACTTTTAAGATTAGATTTAAAACTTTCCGTATTGATAAAGTTATAGTTATTCATAGTTTCAAAAACAGAACTTTCTGCCTCTCTTTGTATTAGCAGAAATGATTGAACTTCAGTATTATGGCGTTATTATGACGTCCCACTTAACTACCATGTAATTGCCAGGTAATAGTTCGATATTCCTTCATTTTCAAATGTAAATTTTGAAGAAATAGGGAGTTTTGCATTACTCTATCATTATTACTGCAACGTCCAAAAAGCCTGCCTCAACAGCTGGTGATTGGACTGCCAGGGCTTCCGCCCAACACACACTGCACCCGACCTCTATGGTGCCTCCTGAAGGTGGTGAGCCACATGGCATAGATAAAGGAAACAGTACAGATATGATAAACACATAAAGAGCTTTAAAGAGTTTTCCTATATAAAAGATAATGGGGTCAAAGAGTTTTTCTGGTTAAATAAAGGAATAAAAAGGTTAAAGAACATTGGTGGGAAATGCCAAGAGGAAAACTAAAAGAGATACGAAGAGCTCTATTATTGGCATGTTGAAAGGAAACACTGCTCTTCTACTTGTGAAAACTCCACATTTCGCGTGTAATTTAATGCAAAAAGAAAAAAAAAACTCAGTATGACAGTTAAGAAGCTCAAATTTGCTGTATTCACATCATACATTTAAAACAGCTGTTTCCATTTTAATCAAATGATGTATCTGAAGCAAAGAAAACTGGTGTCACTTCTGGTAAAGGTTTCTTACATAGAAAACTCAAATTATGACTAAAAACACAGCACTTACTGCTCATCTACACTCACATCCTGCCTGTAATTTGGTGCATT